AATATTGACTCTATCTTAGAAACAAGTGTGGAGGCACAAGCCTGCAGGGACAGAAATACTAGGGTCAGGAGTTTAAGGACATAGCCAGCTCCACTGGGAGTTCCAGGCTAACCTGAGCTACATGAAATCCTCTCTAGAAAAAAACTCTTATTCTTTCCAGCAAGAAGAATTAATGTGCAAATAAGAAAAATGACTAAGAAATAACTTCAAATCCAGAGGTGGTGGCACACACCTCAAATCCTACTCAGGACACAGATGACACATGTGGACCTCTGTGAGCTGGAGCCCAGCATAGTCTCCACAGAGTTCCAAGCCATTGAGGCTACGTAGTGATACTCCATCTCAAAACAAGGAAACATAAAACAAGTGTCTGGCAATCCATTTCTGGGACCCGCCTGCCCTGCAGAAGAAGCTGTTACTCTGTTTTGCTAAACAAAACTTTGCTTGCCTTGAGGAGGGAGAGAGAGAGAGTTGGTAGAATGCTTCCTTGCCCTACTTGCACGAAGCCCTAGATTTGATCCCAGCACTGTTAAATAAACAAAACAAAATCCAAGTCTTATCTACCTGACACTTCAGTTTTTGGGTGATAGACAAATATATTTAGCTGGCTCTATGAGAAATGTGCCTTCATTCTGATCAGGGATTTGACAAAAATCTAACAGTTTCATGACGAGGTTGGATTTCTGGATTCAGATGACCAAATCCCCAGGATAAATCATGATCATGAACCTCAGGATGCCTCAGTTTCCTTATTTGCAAAAGGAATATAGTTGTAGTGCCTCTTTGAGCTGTCATGTAATTGACAGTGTCTGGTATTTTGTCAGCACCATTTAAATATTGGTTAAATAAACTCAAACAGAAGTTCTCAACGATGGCTTGTGCAGTACTTGGCTCTAACCTCTTTAACAGTTACATAGCAAACTTGTTAGACTTTCATATGGCACGCTTGTCAAATGCTTAGATGATTCAAGCATCAGATGATGAAACCAAAAATCAAAAGAAGCCTTGAAATGCTTGCTACCAACAAAGCACAGCGCTGAGATGGACTAAATCCGATGTTGTGTTTTTTACTGTGTCTGTGATAAAACAGGCTGACAAGCGATTAGGGAAGGAAGCTCGAGGTTACACTCCATCAGTGTGGAAGTCAAGGTAGCAGGACGTAAAACCGGTGGTCTCCGTAGCTATGCAGGAGATTCTGACTCATTTTCTCCTCAGAAAGTCCAGGATCCCAGTCAGTTACACCCACAGGGCGTGAGTCTTCCACACTCAGTCAGGGTGACCCTCCACAGTCATACCCAGAGGCTCATTTCCAAGCTGGTTCTAGATGCTGTCCGGTTGACTGATCTAACCATCATATCTGTCCTAATCCACTTTTTATAATTATTGTATTATTACAATAATTACAGAAAGGCTTACCAAGACTTTCTGTGGATTTTTGTTTTGTTTTGTTTTTTTGATTTTTGAGACAGGGTTTCTCTGTGTGGCCCTGGCCATCCTGGAACTCACTCTGTAGACCAGAAATCCGCCTGCATCTGCCTTCCAAGTGCTGGGATTAAAGGTGTGTGCCACCACTGCCCTGGGTACTGTGGATTTTTTAAGGGAACTCTAGTGGAACAGCATGCTTAGCAATTGATCTGTAATGAGAGAACTGAATGTCCTAAAGACACCACCCTGTGTTGTCTCAGTCACCACAAGCATGAGGACCTAGCTTTAAACCCCAGGTGTTAGTCAAATAAGACCCGCCCACATTCCAGAACCAGGTGTTCCTCATTCCCCATCCCACCTTCAATGACTCAGAGCCAACTGCGCCATCATCGCCAAAGGCCAATACCACACTTTTACACCTCTGCCACCCTAGCTGTATTTACCCTATGCTCGTGCTCCATGCCCCCTACAAAGCCACCATCAAGACCTGGTCGGTTTCTGTCTCTACAGTGCTCAGAGGAAGCCATTTTGCATCCCCCCCTCCCCTTCCCCATCCCCCTCCCCAATAATTCTCTTGCTTGAGGTCTATGGCGAGGTGTGATTTTTTTTTTTCAGTATTTCTTGGTCCCCAATCATCGAGATACTCTTTGGCGGGAAAACATTTCACCAGTGCTCTTGTAAAAAGTAAAGTGTGGTGGCAGGTTTATAATCCCAGCACTGAGGAGACAGAGATAGACAGATCCCTGGAACTTGCCAGCCAGCCTCTCTTGATCTAGCTAGCTAATAAACTGTCTCAAAAAAAAGAAAAAAAAAATGGGTGAAGACTTCCAAAGAAAGGACTTCCAGGATCAAGGCTGATCTCTGGTCTACACACACAAGCATATGCATGGAGCTGGGTATAGTGGCACACACCTTTCATCCCAGCACTTGGAGGCAGAAGCAAGTGAATCTCTGGGTGTTTGAGGCCAGCCTGGTCTACATGATAAGTTCTAGGACACCCAGGGCTACATAGTGAGATCCTGTCTCAAACACCTGCCCCCCCCAACACACACACCAAAAAAAGCATAAACTCACACTGTGTGAACATGTGATTCAAGATGGCAACTGTAGCTTGCTCATCTCCTCAGGCTTCTAACTAGTAGCTCAGCGTCTGACACCTGGATACGGAGTGGCTGAGTACACAAATACATGAGAAGATGTAAGGCAAGAAGGAGTCGTACTTTCACGAGAGGGACAGAAAAGATCCTCAGGTGGGTCTCAGAGGGCAGCCTCAAGACTTGAGTAGAAACATAATCAGAACTTTATCTGGGCTTCCAGGGGCTTACTGTGCTACTATGCTAAAATCAACTCCCCTCTAATCCCAACAGCTATAGGCTTTATCTGACCCGTTTCCGGTAGGATATCAAGCTACTTGCAGGCACTTTATCAACTTTTCTCCCATAATAATCCCCAGCTTTGACAAAAGGAGATATTGTCATCCCCGAGGTATAGATAAGAAACTGAGGCAGAGAAGTAAGGTGAACTGCCTGAGGTTACACAGAACTGGAATTACGACATGTTATCTAATCTTAGAGCACACACTACAAGAGTTTTGGGAGGGGTATGCTGGAATCACATTATAGTCTTAAAAAAAAAAAAGTCTAGTCTATTTCATCTCTAGGAGAAAGAAGATTAATTGTATTAATTATATACCAAAGACATTGAGTAGACGTTTAGATTCTACATGCTTATTCTAATCTTTTTCCAAATACTTGGGAAGTCTGGGTTTTTATCATTAAGAAGATATGAGAAATTAACTCTTTTTTTTAATTAAGGCAAATATTTGTTTGCTACACTCTCCAAGGAAAGTAATTATTCCAGAAAGCTGTACAGTTCAGACAGGCTCCTTCAGATCGTGGGGAGTAAGAAGCTACCCAGACAGCAGGAATCCAGATGGCCTAGGGACTCAATGGGTAAACAAAGGTTCGGGAAAGCATGTTTTTAACCAAAGCATTTGCATGCATACATAAATTATTATTATACAGATTTACATATTTCACCTAATTATCAAATGAATGCTTCTTCATTACTTAAAATCTTGAAAATAAACAGGCTGTGGTGGCGCCTACCTTTCATCCCAGGACTTGGGAGGCAGAGGCAGGGGGATCTCTGAGGCCAACCTGGTCTATAGAGTGGGTTCCAGGTCAGCCAGGGCTACACAGAGAAACCCTGCCTCAAAACAAACAAACAAACAAATAAACAGAAAGTCAAGCAAAACAGGGGGCTGGAGAGATGGCTCAGTAGTTAAGAGCTCTGACTTCACTTCCAGAGGTCCTGGGTTCATTTTCCAGCACACAAACGGTGGCTAATAACTCCAGTTCCAAAGGATCTAATGCCTTCTTCTGGTCTCTGTGGGCACTGCATGCATGTGGTGCAGATATACATGCAGACAAAACACATACAAAAAATAAAAATAGATAAACCCAAAGTATCTACCCTTCAACTACAGGTAAGAAACTTTTGTGCCTGGCCTGGTGGTAAATAAAGTCATCCCAGGATTTGGGGGCTGAGGCAGAAGGATTGCAAGTTTGAGATCAGCTTGGGAAATAGAGTTAGAACTTGTCTTATAAATTTTAAAATTAAAAACAGTTTTGTTTTAGTGAGGAGGGTCCAGGGACACCCCCATCGACCTGTGCATACACTCTTCAGGCACAAGGTTGGAAGCCACAAACAGCTCTGAGTTCTGTGCACTTCTCCTTTAAGAAGGAGAAACAATGACTCATCCATAGAAAACTACCTCATCTGTTCTTGGCCATCTGTCTCAGACAACCTAAGACCAAATTTAATATACCTGATGGTTTTAAGAAGAAACAAATTCCTAAGCCAGGCAGTGGTGTCACACACCTTTGAACCAGTACTCAGGAGGCAGAGGAGGGTAGATCTGACTTTGAGAGTTTGGTCTACAGATCAAGTTCCAGAACAGTCAGGGCTACACAGAGAAACCTTGTCTCAAATAAAATAAAATTAAGGGACTGGAGAAATGGCTCAGTGGTTAAGAGTACTGTCTGTTCTTCTAGAAGACCAGTGTTCAATTCCCAGCACCCACATGGCAGCTCACACCTGTCTGCCATGGCAGTAACCCTGAGATCTGACACCCTCACACAGACAGACATACAGGCAAAACACCAATGCAAATGAAGTAAAAATTATTTTTAAAAAATTTAAAAATATTTTTGAAGAAGGAAGAAGAAATAAATTCCTTCATTGTATTTCAGTTGACTTGGGAATCTTTTACCATGATTCTAGAACCATCTAACTCATTTACATTGGGCAACCAATACCACAGAGCAGAACTGGTTACCACTCTATTTATATACGCACCCACCAATCACAGATATTTGAATGCCATGGCTTTAAGATGTATTTTGACAGAATGTGTCCCTTCTCTCAGAGAAGACACATAACAGAGAGAGTTAGAACCAACATAAAGTGCTGAATCCAAAACCACTAACCAATGACAAAGACCAAGGAAACGCTCCGCCAACTGTGACTTTCAGCCCAGCTAGCATCCCACCATCAGAAAACAAGGCCCTTACCTTCATGTTTTCAGCCACACCGTCCTCACAGTCCAGCACTGCACAGTCTACTTTCAGAGATGGAATCTTCCGTATTTTCTTTTCGTCATTCCCGGGCACGTAGAGCACCGCCCTCCGAGGAACATACTTGTGATTGGACAAGGAGCTATAACCAGGCCTGCAGATACTGGCCATGAGGGATGCCTTCCTGCAAGAGAAGTAACTAGGGTTAGTCAAAAATGGAATTCTGCACTTACAAATTTGTGAACAGGGGCTGAAGAGATGGCTCAGCAGTAAGAGCACTGTCTGCTCTTCCAGAGGACCTGGGTTCAATTCCCAGTACGTACATGGTAGCTCACAACTGTTTGTAACCCCAGTTCTGGGGATCTGACAACGCACATAAAAAGCTAAATACATTTTAAAAAATAAAAATACATGAATTTGTGAATGAACTCTTCACTGACCCATTCATTCATTTTGACTTTTTAAAAATGTTTTAAAATTTAAGTTATGTGTATGTGGTGGTGATAGCAGGTAATACATGTGTGTGTAAGTAACATAGGTGCTGAGGAGCCCAGAAGAGGTCTTCGGGGTCCCTTGGAGCTGATGTTGCTCATGGTTGTGAGCCACCAGAGTCGATGCTAGGATCTGAGTTCAGTCCTCTGCAAGAGCAGTACGCACTCTTAGATGCTAAACCTCACTCCATTTTGGCTTTTTTGCTTGTTTTCATGACAAGTTACCACTATGCAGCCCTGGCTGTCCTGAAACTCGCTATGCAGACCAGACTGGCCTTGAACTCACAAAGATCCACCTGCCACCACCTCTCAAAGGGATTAAAGTGAAACCACACCCCACCTATTTTTTTGGCTTTTTGAGATGGGCCTTGTTCCATAACCTTGGCTCATCACTGTGGTACTCAGGCTGGTCTCAAACTCAGGGTGGTTTGCCCTGGGGAATCTGAGTCACATACTTAATACATGTCTAGATTCATACACTCAGTTTTCAACATCAAAAATCAGAAACCATACAAAGAAATGGGAAAACATGGCCCTGTACAAGGAAAAAAAAGCAAATCAGTAAAAAAAAAGACTTCCTGATGGCAGTTCTACTAGATGAAGATGTTACAGCAACTCTCACATTTTAAGGGTTTTGTTGTTGCTGTTGTTTTGTTTTCTCCTTGACAGAGCATTGTTCTAGAGCCCAAATAGGCTTAGAACTCAAGAGTTTCCTGCTTCACCAGGGACCACACTTGCTGCTGTTGCAGCAACAATGTCAACCTCTTGGCTTCCAGCAATGATCAAAACACAGACCCTAATACTTGGAGAACATGGTCCTGCTTTGGTTTACCCTGAATCCATCAGGCAATGTGCAGTTCATGCCAAACATATACACAGCTAAGACATGACGGGGAAGTTGCGGAGAGTAAAAAACTCAAACTGACCCAAAGTGAGTCAGTTTGTCACCCAAGTGGTCCATGAGAAAGGCCTTCCTTCAAGGGATTCCAGAATTTCAGGGCTCAGTATAGTGAGCCACGCCTATAAGCCCAGTATTCAGTAGACTGAGACAGGGGTTACAGACATAGTTCAGTGGGTCAAGTGAAGACATGGTTCTTTACATCTGCAATCCCACCACCTAGGAGGTGAGGCCCGAGGACCAGTTCACCATCATCTATGGCTACATCAGAGGCCAGCCAGCCTAGACTGAAGAGGGGGGAAGAGAAGAGAAAGAAAGTAGCAGAAAGTCAGCCAAAGCAGGGAGGTCTTAAGCTTGAGTCCAGCCTGGGACACATAAAAGACACCTCAAAACAGGAGCAGAAACAACAACAAACTGGGTTCCGGAGTTCCAAAATGTTTAAACCTGCAAAATTCTGCAGGGATGCAGGCCCGTCATTCCAGCACTGGTGGGGCAAAGACAGAAGGCTCCCCAGGACTTGCTGGCCATCTTGTCTACCAAAATCTGTGAGCTCAGGCTCAGTGAGAGACCTCTTCTCAAAAAATAAAGCAGAGAGCACTCAAGCAGAGTGTAGCTTTGGAACCTGTCCTGGAACTCACAGAGATCCACCCGTCTCTGCCTCCCAAGTGCTGGGATTAAAGGTGTGCACCACCACCACCCAGCTCAATTAATATCTTGATTATAAAAGTTATTTACTTATTTATTATCTATGTGGAGGGGGGAGTGGGCAGACATGTGCATAGAAGGAAAACTTTGGGAGTCGGTTCTCTCCTTCTACCTTTACGGAGTTGTAGAGACCAAACTCAGGTCAGAGGGCTCACACTGCAAACCATTTTACCCACTGAGCCATCTCTCTGGCCCCCTGGATTGGCATTTTAAATGGAACATGTAACATTATAAATGCATCATATCTTAACTTAGTGAAATACCCAGTGAGAAATACCTAGAAGGAAGTTCCGTGAACTTTGATTAGGGATGGCTGGGAAGGGTAGACTAGACATTGGGGTTATTACTTTCGGCCCACATGTCTCCCTTATTTTAAAGGTTTATCAGAAATGATGTACCCCCCTCCTTTCTTCTTCCTTTTACAGCTGGCTGAAAACAAACTAATGAAAGCATTCCCAAGGTTCAAAATGGCAGTAAAATGTAGTAGAAAATGTAGTTGCTGAAAATTGACTCCTTTTCACCTATAAAATGATTCTTGTATTTATCCTAATGTTCTGATTGGCAGAGGTGAGATGCAAGCACAGACGAAACATCCTATGAAGCCTTGTCTAGGTCCTGGAGACACTGTAGTCAGCCCTACTGTGGCCCTTACCAGGTACCTTGACTAGGTCGATGCTGCAGGGAAAGACCCCAGGCTATAGGACACCAAGCATGGTGAAGACGTGTTTCCAAAGCAACAGGGCCTACCCAGAAGGTCCAGAGATGGATATCTAATGGAATGGCCCGTGAAACAGCAGTATATGTCTGAAATGTAAAGACAAATGTAGAAGGGACCGAGTTTCAAGTTCTATGTGGTCTCTGAGCTCTCTAGGGGCCTCAGGGCACAACAGTCTTGGTTCCACAGAGCTATAGAAGTTTCTGTAAGTCTCCCCTCTTTCCCTCCCCCATCCCTGGCTGCTCCCAAATCTGTCCTGTGCTCAAGATGTATTCAGCGCTGCTACAAATACAACTGCAGTGGGTGACAAGATCAAACTTATTTTATCTTACACCCTTGGAGTTGCAGCCTCTTCACAGTCAACATGTAAATGTATTCAAACACTATGCAAAGCGTGAGTTGCAAAAAAGTGTGGTAGTCTTAAGGTGAGTGCTCTACACTGAGCGTCCCTTTTTGGAGGTGACATTTCAGAGAGAGGCCCCTCCTGGCCTGGCCCATCTTCTGCTTTTTTCCGTCCCTTCACCTAGCTGCCTATTTCTGTATCTAGGTCCCTGGGGTAGGAGGAGCTTCTCAACCTAAGAATCAATATAACCACTACCTCCGAGCTTTTAAAAATTTATCAAATCCATTCAGGGACATCGGTACACACTGGTAATCCCAGCATGTGGATCAGTACTTCAAGGTCATTCTCAGCCAACCTAGGCTACATGAGACCATGTCTTAAAGCAATAACAACACAGCAAAAATCATCAACACACCTTTAATTCCAGCACTCAAGAGGTCAGGCAGATTTCAGTGAGTCCCAAAGCAGCCTGTCTATATAGAGAGCTCCAGACCAACCAGGCCTACCTAGTAAGGCTCTGTCTTCAAAAATAAACAAAAAGGCAGCGGCGGCGGCGGCAGCGGTGGCAGCACACACCTTTGATCTCAGGAGGCAGAGGCAGGCAGATCTCCGAACTCAAGGCCAACCTAGTCTACAGAGTGAGTTCCAGGACAACCAGAGCTTTTACACAGAGAAACCCTGCCTTGAAAAATTTAAAAAGCAAAAAACAAAAACAAAAAGCAACAAACCTGTCCAACTAAATCTCCTTTTGAGGAAACTCCATCTCTGCTTCATACTGGCTCATTGTAGAATCCCATTTGGAGGCAAAGCCAAGAATCTGCCTTCAAACCTGAGTTGCTAGAGCTGTTGGTAAGTGGAGTTCTGGGCCGTCTCCTGCTGTGCTGACATCATCATTGGTGCAGGGTGACACTGAGGCTTCAGGCCTTTCCTAAGGTCCCTTCACGGTTCTAATGTGCAGCTAAGTGTGCAGGTGAGGGTCCTAGAACTTCCCAGTGTATGGAAGCTGCCCTCATACAAGCCCTTCTGTTCAGCATGTCTGTGACCCCAGCTCTTGGGAGGCAATGCCAGCCTATGCTATAGAGCAAATTACTGTCAAACCCGAGCTGCATTAACAAGGCAATGTCTCAAAAATAATTTTAAAAAATAGGGTGGAGGGGGCATGGGGAGATAGCTCAGCCTGTAGAATGCTGACCTCCCACTCACAAGAAGCTAAGTTCAACCCCCAGAGCGCACATCAAAATGCCAAGCATAGAGGTACACACTTTGTCATCCCAATATTGGGGACACAGAGGCCGAAGGATCCCTGGGAATTGCTGCCCATCCATCACAGCCTACTGGGTGAGTGCCAGGCCTAGATCCCATTTCCAAGGAGATGAACAGCATTCCTGAGAACAACACCCAAGGCTGTCTTCTGGCCTCTGTGTTTGTGCACATACATGCTACACATTAAAAAAAAAAAAAAAAGGTGGGCATTCAGCCAGGGAATGGAACACTTGCCTAGCATGTTCAAGACTCTATTTCCATTCCTAGTACTGCAGGAAAACAAAAAAGCTGAGTTTTGACCTTGTCTGGCAATGGACATGGGCACTGCAGAATCTGTGTGCTAAGTGACAGCAAGAGCCCATCATTCAGTGCAGGGCATGCATCCCCTACCTTCCAAGCGACAGCAAAGCTCACCTCTTAATTTCCTCTTGCTTAAGCTATTAATAGCAAGGTATCTACGCCAGCATCTATAATTGAGGCCCCCACTTATGTTCTCACTCTGTTAAGTTCCCAAGTGCCCACGAGAGATTCCTTCCCTTAGTTTGAAGAGCTGTTTTGGTTACTATGGCAACAGCACAGAGAACAGGGGGAGTGTTGCAAGGACAGAAGAGCCACACAACAGATATTTGTCCTCCTACAGGCAGACAAGGCCCTGCTGGAGATTTGTATGAGCTGAAGATGAGTGTGTGGCTGGTTCAGAGATACTGAGAAAATGTTTCCAATACAGTCTGCTCACCCATGAACAAAAGAACACCTCTCGTGAGCTCCA